GAAGAAATACTAGCCAGTAATACAGACCCGCTACAGCTTCCCCTAGCCACAGAGCCATACGCCCGTAAAGGGGTATCGTGTTGGCTGACAGCCCAACTCCAGTGTCGAGTTGAGCTAATTGGACCGTCTTAGGTGAACCAGATCGTGACTAATCCGACCCCGATCGGACTAAATAGACATGAAATGGCGAGCTTCGATTGGCTGAGTTTTCCACTAGTACCCTGTTGAGATGCACGCATCCGAGTCATTTCGCATCGCAAGGGGTAGGTTACATGAATGGGAAATCCAGGCGATTAACGACGCCTAATGGGATGCTTTGATACGGTCTATACGGTCGGCCAGTGACTCATTACAGTCGCGCCAAGAACCCAGTTGCTGTGGAATTTATAGGCTGGGAGGCCTTCCTTATTCTCTAGTTACATCGCCCGCAGCAGACCACCTATCACCGAACACCTTCATAATGGCTCAACCAACAAGCGCAGATCCGTCCTTCAATTCCATCTCTTACCTCCCCACAAACGAAGCATATGACAGATGGGCGAAAGTCTACGACAGCGATGGCAACTTTCTGCAAGCACTAGACGATTTAGAGCTAAAGACGCTGTTCCCACGCTTTCTGTCATTGATTAAGTCGCCTAAACCCTGGCGGCTTGTGGACTTGGGCTGCGGCACCGGCCGCAACACAGCGCTTCTGCTCGGGATACCCGAGAGCGAGATCATCGCTCTCGATGCGAGCAAAGGCATGCTAGAAGTCGCGGAGACCAGGCTCGTGGGCTCGAATCCAGGTTCTGATGTCTCGGGTAACCCATCTAATCTTCGCCTCGGTATCTTCGATATGTTGGCCACTTCCGCACCGCCGGAGTCTGTAGCACCTCACACCGTGGACGCTATGATCAGCACACTAGTTGTCGAGCATATCCCTCTTCCAACATTCTTTGCGCATGTATCACAGCTCCTCCGCCCTGGGGGGATGTTTCTACTGACCAATATGCACTCTCACATGGGCGGGATTTCCCAAGCTGGTTTTGTGGATGCGGCTACGGGAAAGAAGATTCGACCGAGGAGCTACTCACACACCGTCGAGGACGTAATACTCGAGGCACGAAGATATGGTCTGGAGGTTGAGACTGACGAAGAAGGAGTGGGCATCCTGGAGAGTGCTGTTAGTGAAAATATGGTTCAGAAGATTGGTCCTAGAAGTGAAAAGTGGGTGGGCATCACCTGTTGGTTCGGGGGCATATTTCGCAAAGTATTAGATTCTTGACGTGTACACTACTTCGAAAGATTCGTCCTGTGCATATGAAATACAGCTTTACCTCGGGACTCGCTTTTGGTCGAATTCGCGCACCCTTAATGCTTTCCTCCTTTCTCTCTCCTTTGTTCAACAATAATGTGTTTTGATACGTTTTCCTAACCGTTAATGACTCAGAATAAATGACGTAGATATATAGCTACAAAACGGCTAATGGAAAAATAATTCGCTTGGGACTGACTGATAATTAGGCTCTCTATGCCCCTGGCCCCCCCAAGTCAGAGTCACAGACAACAAAAAGGAAATCAAAAACAGAAAAGTCATGCTATAAATCTAAAGTATGGGGGGAGCCATGCTTGCTGGAATTCAGGTTAATATTTGGATTGGGAATTAACGCTAGCCTTTAGGTATGTGGCTCGGTATGTCGCTAGGATCGCTCTAGGGGAATTAAAAAAAGAAAAAGAAAAAGGAGAACCTACCTAGGCTATAATATTATCATCTCGTGCAAGGGAGCTAAATAGAGAAATAAAGGATAGCTGGCTGGTCATCACGTAACGGCCGTTCCCACCAAGCACGTTCCGGACCAAGTGAACGGCGACATTGTCGTCTTGTGATTTGCTGGGTTTTACAGGATTGGCATCGGCCCTGCTTGGAATTGGCTGGAGTTTGAAGGAGCGTATGGTCCGTTGCCCTCGTTGTCTTTATATTCAAAGTGTGCGTCGTACTTCTCGGAATTGTCTCCTTCGTTGTCCTTGTTATATAAATCAATAGTTTTCAAGTTGATGCCGGGCCCTTCTTGAATATCGGCTTTTAGACGAGGTATACCTGGCTCGAGAAAGCCCCGGGCGAATCCGGATTGTGGTCACTGTATCGGCTCAGCGATTGGATACGGCGGCGAACTAAAACTGCGCAGGGATATTTCCTCGCGGTCGCAATAATCTTGAGATAATTCAAGCCGATAATTGTTGGGCCTTTTCACGTACCGTCGCCGAAAGACAGTGTGAGGTCTGAGCCAAGCGACTTCCTATATTCAAAAATACCCTGCTCCCGCAGGTGTTCTCCGTTAACCTTGTCTATCTGCTTTTTATTGCAGGGGACATGCTATTTTAATAATTCCGCGCCCGTGAAGAATTCGATTCCCCTTTCCGTTTCCAATACTACCTTCGAATCGCCAATGCTCGCGATATGCAGGCTTCTTGTGAGAGGATTACATGTTGATAATAATACACATGAACCGGGCCGGGAGGGAGTCGTTATATAGCGTAAATATTTCTTTTCTTACTTATGTGCAAAGCTACTAAACACAGACCTCATTGTCACCTTACCTGGATTGCCAGACATCCCACATAAACACGATGCCGCAATATCAGAAAATCTCACAAGACTCCTAAACCATTCATGCTAATTCAGCCTCAATGACGCTTTCCAGAGACGATGGGTGCTGCCATATCTTGCGGACCTCGAAACCGGTGGCCCTAAGAAGCTCCCTCCATTTCGCTTCTGTTCGCTCGGCTGCCGATATCAAATGCATGAGGCTAACATCTGCGACACTTTGGTATAATGTTGCACCCGTACTCACGAGTACACTCTCGTAAAGCAGAAGCTTTGAGTAACCCTTCTCCATTGCTGCAGCGGTGTGGTTGAGAATGCGCCCTGCATCTAGGTCATCCCAATCGTGGATAATTGCGTGCATAAAGTAGGCGCGAGCCCCTGAGTTGCATAAGAGAAGTTAGCTACGTGATAACTGCAACATCCGATGTTGTTCAGCTAATATTGGGCCGAGCATAGCCCTGTTTGGAGGACTAGTGTCGACGGAGTCTGTTTACTCACCTTTCACAGGCTGAGGTGTGAAAAAGTCATAATGCATGACTGTGATCTTTTCGCTCACTTTCGCCATCGCGATAACGTCTGGCATGTCCTGCAATATGAGCTTTCCATCAGGCAACCCTGGGTATCGACTTAGCAGACGCTCAACGTCTACACCATGGGCACCTCCCACGTCGACGAGGAGGGGCAGTTCCCCATTAGTATCAAAATCGCTCATAAGAATATTCGTATCGTAGATCTGAGTCCAATCTAGCTTATAAGCTGCGAGCCCGCGCATGAATCCGATGAAGCTAGCCTGGTAGTCGGGATTGGCGCGACATCGCTCAAACATGCCTAGTCGTTCTGGCGTCAGGTCCATGTAACTTGAGTTCTTTGGGTCCAAGGGCTCGGCGTAAGCTGTCCGCGCCAAGAATTGTGGCAAGTTCCGACTCGAATCTAGGCCATGGTGTGTCCTTTGCCATGCGCATACATGTTAGGGTAATTGGGGCACGTGGAAGGGGAGAAAATGGGCCTCCACGTACCCTGATAGAATCGTTTGTGCGACGGTATCGTCGTGCTGCCCCAGCGCCTGTGAGAAGTCGGTGGCGCCGTATATGTCTTCCCCGAGCTCCCGAATGACGTGTTCGGCGGCCAGAAGGCGAAACAATCGTCCTTGTATGTTTCGTTAGCGGATGGCCTAAATCATCTGTTCCAGGGTAAGGCTTCTAAGACAGATTCGATCAGCAAATGAAGTGAAATGGGGTAGCTTACGAAGAAGCATCAAATCACATGGCATACGGGCCAACGCGTGAAGCTCAAGTAACGAAATTTCATGTCGCTTGCTGAGATACCACGCCTCCCAAATTCCGACGTCTAGGACGATTTGCACCGCCATATGGATGTTGCTGTTGATCCAGGATAGGCGCCATGCGCGCTCGAAGGGAGTCTCAAAACGGGCGAGCAGTCGCCGCGCAGCTTCTGCAACGGCTATGCGATCCCCATAGCTGTCGGGATCATCTATGTAATCGGACTGTTGAATGTCATCAAGAAAGGCAATGAGCTCTTTAGCCCTAGTTGAAGGCATCGTGGATTTCTGGGGATCTCAGAATGTGGAGACATGGCGATGACTTTCCCTTTTTGCACAAATTAGAATGCCGGGTATCTCTTAGTGTATAAAGAGGGCTAGCGCCCCCTCGTCCAGCGGGTAGGAATCCGACAAGGTGTTATCGCAGGGCAGCCGGCAGGCATGCGATGATGGACCTCATCGTGATTGAGCCACTTGAGGACTAGAACAGGGACTAGGATTGGGGTTCTGCCACCCATCGCCTTGAATTGGATCGTACAGTATGTATGACTCCCTGTTCATGAACAACCACCCGATTCCCTCTTTTGGAACCCTGTGGATTCTCACATGGGCCGTTAGGGGCTCTCATATCGACGTTGCGACAACTCTACTGGAAGCATGTGAAATACCCTTGTAGCTTAGGATTCTCCCCAACACGACATCATGAGGGATCATTGTGAAAAGAAAAAAAAAACTTATACCGACGACCCTTAGGCTTACCCGACGGGATGTCGGTTGGTGAACGAGCCTGTAGGCTCCTATTAGGCTGTAACTCCCACGAGTACTGTAGCGGGGATTCTGCTACCGCCCGTAAAATTGGTGGATCGAAACGCACTTGCGCTACCTGCTAAAGAAGCCGTCAAATAGGTCCTTATGCTAGTTTTATATAGGACCTATGAACTACGGTGGTTCGAGCTTCGAAGTTCCAACGATTACTAAAACAACCGAGTATGACCAAGTCTTGGCCATATGTGCAGTTGTGGCTGTGGTGGCACAGCGAGGGAGCACCCAGACTAGCCCTAGCCCTATCTAGAACGAGCCTGAGTTTCCTTGATATTATTGTTAAGTCCACTGACACAATATCCAATCAACTCAATTGGCCTCGTGGCCCAATGGCAAGGCGTCTGACTACGATCGAAATCATCTCAAAAGATGAGTTCATCAGGAATCAGGAGATTCTGGGTTCGACCCCCAGCGAGGTCATCTTTTGCTATTCTGGCAGATCATGAATTTTGCTTTTTGCGACAATTTCTATCCCACAAGCAGGCAAGTAAGCGTGTCGTTAAGCCGATTACTTAATTTCGTGTCTGTACATCATGAAGAGATGGAGAACTGGAGGTAACAGGTTTGTGGTCACAGCGTGCTGCATCAAGGTGTTACCGACTCAATTGCCACACTCGAGTGACGAACTATTCTCACTACTATGGAACTAGGCGCCACCTTCACCCCAGCTAAAGCAATCTCCTGATGTACAGGCCAGATCGAACCAAGACATGACCACTGCTTCCTGGTTCTGAATATTGTGCGTCACACCGCCGGCACGGTAGGCTTCAAACCAGTCGTTCGGACCGTAAACATACTTGGTCCAATTACTGACAGGGGTGTTGGGAGTCGTGCTGGTGGGTGTCTGGCTGTAGCCGAAGACGGCGTTCCATTCCTTGACCTCCTCTTCAAAGTTCGCGTAGTTAAGCGTTTCGTCGAGTGTGCCGTGGAAAATCTGCATTTTGGGTCTCCATCCGGTGTATCCCGGGTAGGCCGCCGTAACCAATGCTGCCCACTCCGCTGGCGTGCGCGTGACTTTCCCTGTCGCGCATGCATCGCTCCAAACACCGTATCCATTCCCAGCGAAACAGCCGAAGGGAACACCGGCAAATGCCGACCCGGCGGCAAAGACGTCGGGGTAGGCCCCGATCAACGTGCTGGTCATCATGGCCCCTGACGAGACGCCCGTCACAAACACGCGCTTGGGATCGCCTTTGTATTTTTTGAGCGTCCAGCGCACCATGCTAACGATGCCCAGGCTGTCTCCACCCGCCTCGTGTGCTAGAGTGTTATTCGACGACACGTCCCAGCACTTGTCGGCCGTGTTAGGGCTATCTGGATAGATGACGATGAACCCATACTTGGACGCCATGGTCGCATATTGCGATCCGGCGTAACTCGCTCGCGCATCACCGTGGCACCAGTGGGGGTTGACTAAGATTGGCGGGTTTGCCGCTAGCTTGTCTGGCACGTAGATGTAGAAACCGACGTTTCTGGGGTTCGGACCGAAGTTCTCGGTGACTTGCGTTAGCGAGGCCGCGTTCGCCCCGCTTACTACGCCGGTCGCAAACAGCAACCAAGACGTCCAGCGCATGATGAATATCTCCTGCTAATCGATGTGCAGCGAATTTCCATGAATCCAAGGAGTCATATACTAGAAGTCCAGTCAAGGGAGGTATGGATATATATATCCATTTAAATGGGCGTCCGCTCTCACCAACCCCGTGCCTCTCAATCCGTTACGGACTATAGCGTTGGCTGAGGACGGAGACTAGTGTTCCGTCGCCATTCTGAGCTAAGATTGATGGGGTCGCCGCTCGGTCTATGCATGTTGCTGCGACTCGAGGCAGGACATAGAGTTGCTATCGTGTCGTCATGAATTTAAGAAGATAAAATAAAAACACCAATCGGCTTTGTTTTTTTAAGTAGATTTGTTCACCAGATGTCGGATGCCATCTCAGCGGGCAACTTGTTCTTTTCTTGGCCAGGCCGATGGGCGGTCAGCATCCCTCTCTACACAGTCAGTACAGGACAACGTGTGTCAGAGAATAGCCAATCGAAACGAAGTTGCTTTCCTATTTGGGTAGCTTGGCCATCTCATGTTTTATCACGATGCTACGCTTCTCTACACAGTCAATGGTTTACCTAGGCTGGCTTACACCCCCAGAATCATGCGCAAAAGGGCATAAAAGCCCACTGGCACTTGAAACTAACAATAAAATCCAGCTCTTCTTGTATTTCTTCGTCTTAGTCTATTCTCCATTACTCCCTCCATTTCTAGAAGCTTCATAGACGGGGAAGCTACAAGGGCAGAACTTCCCTGTCTAACTAGCCCACCTTCTAGACGCACCGTTATTATATCACTGCCTATAACTCTGCTTCGCTATTCACCCTCAGAACTTGCAAAGAGGCGCTAGATATACTTGAACTTTTATAACTAGGGTAACGTTTCAGGATGTTGCACTTGGGAACAAAGGGGTCTCCGATATATATGGCACAGAATTTCCCATTGAGGGACCTCAGAACCCCCCGCACGACGGCATCATACATGGCTCTTGCCTATCCTCGAGCCTCCGGGGCGTACAGCACCGGTCTCCGGGGGCTGGAGCACGGGGTAGACACCTGGCATACGCCAAACGGAAGGAACGCCTCTCCGGTCTTGCTTCACCTGACAGCCCGCATTGCCTGGAAATCGCAATGGGTTGGGGGAAGGAGGGTATCTCACAAAGCATTTTGGGACTAGTAGCCAATTGGTGCAAGATTTATATTGATATATGATATTAAGAGTTTTAGGGTCAAGTGCTCGCTAATTCTGGGGCGTAGCTGGTCGTTTCGTTATCGACATCGTTTGAGGGAAGGATCCTATAAGCTGTTTTTGTCTTAGGGAGGGCGATTCCGGGAATGCAGTCACTACCTAGGTAGTCTTCTTGGTTTTTCAGCGGCAGTTTCCCATCACCCCCGCCCGATCCCAGCAGCCGCCGCATACCCATCTTCCCGAGCCGTCTTTCGCCTTGAAGAGGTTCTTCTGGAGGGTTTCGTGTCCGCGTTTCTTACAATGGCAGTGGCAATATCCGGGAGTGTACTTTTTGCATGCCCATCCGGGATCACTTGCTAGAATGGTGACACCGCCAGGATTGGTACCGCCGCTGGGTGGGGTTGAATCAGTTGATGTAGTAGGCGAAGACATGGTTACGAAATCGTTTGTGAAGTGTAGAGTGAAGTTGATGGTGACTGGTATACGCTGTATGCAGTATTTCGGCTTTGTGGATATTTGTGCTTGAGGAGGCCGAAGATGATTCGGATCGCGTGTTATATCGCCGCTGGGACGACTATATATGCGAGTAATCGAAAAGCAAACAATGCTTGGAAATCGAGAATTGAATGCTGTTTCTTAGCAGCCGTATTGTGGTAGTAGCAGGCCGAAAATTCTCGTTCACTTCCCGTTTATTTACATGATACAATAGGTCTGCCGTTTACATGGACGTGATACCAGTACTACAAAATAGCAGTCGAGACTTATCGTACGTTCAACGTGACTGTATCTCGGAAACAGTACGTATGTTGAAGGCGTTATCTGTTCTGGTGCCTTGATCTAGATGGTTTCCTCACCTATTATGACTAGACAATACGTACTATGCGTGTTACCGAATCATAGCATCTAACCTCGGAAACAAGCGCTAATAATGCACGGAGCTTTTCTAATGCGACATATTATTAACGAACGGGACAGCCTCTTGTACTCTCTACGTAACTGATCAAAAGTGGCAGGAATAATACGTAGATTACCTATACCCTATGTCGTGGAAATAATATACATCTCGAGGAAAATAAAAGAGAAAGAAAGGATTTCTATGGACAGGCAACGCAAAATATATGTCTATACGCACACAATTGTGCTAGGCTCCCATTGTGAACTGTTCCCTAGCAACCAGGGGTCATTCATATGATACAGTCATACAGGAGGCCATTCAAAGGGCTGTCACTCTATATAGAACTTCTCCCTTTGTGCAATAGGTCAGCATTAGATCAACCACTACCAAGCTCAGTCACCGGTCTTTAATATACTGTCCTGTTAAAAAACATTAAAAATTATTTAACACAAGCTATTCATTGATAGTACAGTAATATTTTATTTTCATTAAAACTAATGTTTATAAACAACATTTATGGCTTAATTAATCATATAAGGTTTTCTTTTTACATGATTAAGAATTATAGCAAGTTTTTATGTTATAGGGACTGAATTGCGACATCTCCAGGGGTAGAGGCATATTTATACCAAGACGTACTTAATTAACGTACTGACAAATTGTCGTGGTCTTGGTGCAACCACCTTTCTTTTGCCCGAATAGCTTATGTTAACTAGGTATCATCACCGGGGCCATTCTAACAATTCGTTACGGCTTTTTATGCCGATGATATCCTCCCTGTCCTTTCCCCTCCTGCGGAAAAGGCATTAAGCCAGTGACACGGCACCAGGCTCTGTTGGCCTAGCCGATCTCTCTTCTCTTAACACACCCTGTGTAAATCTTTTACTTCGAAAACCCAGATTCCGTGTAGATTTTCTGAAGAGTCTCAATAAACTACTTGCTTAATCCGGCAGTGCTATCTGTTGCCTTGGTAGACCTAGTGTTTGATAACTGGGCGCTGTGTCCTACTCACTGGCAGGTTTTTTTTAGTAACGTCCGGTGGGTGATAAGCCTCCTGCCGCAGACACTAGTATCTCACGGAATTCCGGTAATTCTTTGTTTTCACCCTCCGCCTGCCTAAGACGACCATCCCCCGTTCCAGAGCCCTGCTACCAGGCCATTCGTTTTCGCATATTGCGTCTATTCTGGTAATCTCTCTATATTTATTAAATAGATCTGTATGGCCATGCGGTCGCACTGGAGAGGAATGGCGTGCTCTGTTTTCTTTTAGACTGGTGTTTGTGGCGGTGTCTGACTGGCTCAGTCAATTCTTTATAATAATGTGAGTCCGCCACGTTTGAGGATTCGACGAGCTGATTATAGTAACAGCGTGCCGGATTCAAAAGGCACCTAGAATTAGCAATGAATACTATAACTTAATTGGTTAACCGTGCAAATCAGAGTAAGAGGGCGTTGAGGGGGTGTTTTACTTGATAAAGGGGTACAGTGAGGGGTTCGGGCAGAGTATTGCAGTGAAAGAGTCCGTAGCTGAGCTAGTAAACTGTAAATTCGCTAGCTTTACCTGCTATGCTAGTAGAAATATGAGGAGGTATTTGTAGACTTTGATTCTGAAAACAAAGTTAGAAGCACACTCTGCTTACGATATTTAAAACTTTGCTTTGTTCATCTAACGTTTGCCTGCTGATTGTAAAAATCAAGATGTCTGGTAGATCAACGTAGTGATCGGATTTAGGCGGCGAGAATTTATGCCAAGGGCCTTGGTAACGAGTATTTCCCTGTAAGTTACCTTTG